GAAGAGGAAGCGCTCTAGACCACCTACGCCCAGAGGACTGGTGTGATTCGAAACGTGTGCCGCGCAGTGCATGTGTTAGAGAATACGCATGTCTCGTCATGGTGCAACTCGTTGTAGCACGTTCAGTTCCAATGTTGCCATAGCTTTTGCGCTACTGCTGTGCGCGGTTGCGCTGGGCAGCTGTTGCAACGCAACCGTTCATATACGCTCATATACCCATGCATCGTGGTCGTTCGTCCTCTGGAGAACCCAGGCACGGCTGCCCATGTTCAGGCGTTGAGAGTTGATTGCCCGATACGCTTGACGCGCGTTCTCTGCGTGCTGAACGCGCTGGCCAAGTACGTCTAGCACGACCTCTTCGTGCTGGTATTGATGCCCTTTCGCTGTCGACCCCCTCTCCGGCGGGCATATGGCGGTGAGGAGGTGTGCTTAGTGTTAAGTCGGGCATGTCCCTCAACAGGAGGAATATTCAGAAATAGCTCGAAAATGGTCAGGGGACGACTTTTTTCGGCTACGTTTGACTATGTTTGAATAAGTTTTGCTTATTTCTTATGTTTCTTCCAAAATCCGCCTGCAGGAGGACATGCCCGACCCAATCTTAGTGTTTCTCGAGACCGCCGAGCCCGCGCGGGTGCGTGTCCACAGCCTCTGGGTCGTGAGCCTGGCCCTCTGTAAGCCCCAAGCGGTGGAGTCGCTCGCCACGGCCAGGCGTGGCTCACCTGCGTGCTCTTCGATGCCCTCGAGCCTACGCCGACGCGTGCCCGCAGGTTCTAGGTCGTGAGTCTGGGCCTGGAACCGCTTGCCAATGCCGGGCGTGAACAATCTCTGCACTCTCATGGAGATGTGACGTCCAACTTCTCGCTCTCAGATATCACCGAGCTTGCATGCTGCAGGACGTCTCGACGAGCAGGATGCCAGCAGCGCAACGCAGCTGAAGTTGCAGCACGTGCGCTCAGCTCTACCGCCCTTGTGGCCAGTCCCAGGGTGCTCCCGAGGCAAGGTATGCCCCGCTCGCCTTTAGGTCGGGCCGCCCTGCCGCTTCTGAGCCGCCTCCTCGATCCACCTCCCTCTTCCCTGGTCCGCCTCCTCCTCCTCCTCCTCCTTCCCCCCTCCTCGATCCTCCCTCCTATCCACTGCGTCGGTGGTGGCGCCGGGGCCCGCGGAGCAGGGCGCCAAGCCGGGCGAGCTATCGGGCGCAGCGTGCGGAAGCTCGCCGCCGGTGCGCCGCCGGTGCGCCCCAGGGCGAGGCAGCGAGGCGCACCCCAGGCCGGGCTCTGGCGGCCGAGCTTTCGGCAGGCTCCGGCGAGGCCGCTCTCGAGCACGCCGCGGAGGGCAGGCTGTCTGGCGGACGTGTCCCTCTAAAGGAGGAATGCTGAAAAATTGTTGTCAAAAACTAGTCTGGGGACTATTTTTTGATTTTTGTTGGACTATGTGGGTGCATGGTTTGCGTATGTTTGATTTTTCTCCCAAAATCCGCCTGTAGGGGGACACGCCCGACCTAAGGCAAGCTTACGGGGGCCGTGCGGGGCATGCGGCAGGCTGTTGTGGAGCAGCTCCGCACCAGCAGCAGAGTCACGGAGAGGGCAAAATCTCTCGAGGCTTCGCTGGGGGTGCGCTCAGGCGATGCAGGTCCCTTCTCTTCCTGCTGCTCCTCCCCCTCCTTCTCCCTCCTCCCCCTCTCCCTCCACCTTCGTTTTTCCTCCGCGAAATGTGTCGTTCATCGCATCCTGGTTTGGGGGGTCCCTCAGATGTCTTTCGCAAGGACCCAAAACATTGCGCTGGGGACTCCGCAGACGGCTGCCACGCCAGGGGCGGCCCCGCTGCCGCAAGTCAGATACAGGCAATATGAATGCATCGTTCTACCACTACCAGCACCCCTCCTCCTCCTCGTCCTCCTCCTCCGCCTCGTCCTCGCTCCTCGCTCCTCCTCCTCCTCCTCCTCCTCCTCCTCCTCCTCCCACGGTTGCATCGTCAGTTTGCCAGAGCGGGTTGCGGCGGCAAGAGGTCGGAGGCTGCTAGCATTGGGCCCGACCGAGGCCCCATCAGGAGCAAGAGTGCCGTCATGCTGGTCAGACTCCGACGCCCCGAAGAGCCGCAGTGGTCATGCGCATCGGGCACGATTTTCGAGGGCGTCAGCCACATGGAACCGTTGACCGTGCTTGGCTGCGATGCGTTGCGGTGTTTTTAGGAAGCACATTCTCCCCCCCCATTCGGCAACGCCCCGAAGGTCGAGTGCTGCTCTGTCGCCAACGTGGACCAACTCTCTCTCTCTCTCTCCCTCCCTCCCTCCCTCCCTCCCTCCCTCTCCCTCTCTCTCTCTCTCTCTCTCTCTTTCTCTCTTTCTCTCTCTCTCTCTCTGACTCTCCCTCTCTCTCCCTCTCTCTCTCTCTCTTTCTCTCCAGTGCGAGCGTACGGAGGGCGCCTCCATCGGCGCGCGCGCGCCTTGACGGACCAGAGTCCGCTGATGGAGCACGACGGACGGCACTCCGAAAAAACGCATCGCCGCACCGCCCGTTGTGGCCAGTCCCAGGGTGCTCCCAAGGCGAGGTATGCCCCGCTCGCCTTTAGGTCGGACCGCCCTGCCGCGCCTTCTCGATCCTCCTCCCTCTTCCCTCCTCCTCCTCCTCCTCCTCCTCCTAGTCCTCCTCGATCCTCCTCCTCCTTCCCCCCTCCTCGATCCTCCCTCCTCCTTCCCCCCTCCTCCTTCCTCCCCCTCTTTTTTCTGTCCTCCTCCCTCCTCGATCCTTCTTCCTCCATCCCCAATTTCTGTTCCGTTTCCCGCCTCACTCCTCCTCGACCTTCCCTCCTCGATCCTCGCCATCCCTCTCTGCCCCCTCCTTCCTCTCCCCCTCGATCCCCGGTCCTTTCCGCATCCTCCCCCCTCCCTGTCCCCTCCCTCTCTCCCCCCCTCCCTGTCCTCTCCGTCCCCCCCCCTCCCCTCCCCGCGGCCCAGGCGGACGAGCTGGTGACCAGCGCCACGGACTTCGGGGCGACGATCTGCGCGGCCCGAGCGGAGAGGGCGCTGTTCACTTGTTCACCCCCGCACCAACAAGAAAACGACGAGGACGAAGACGAGGACGACTGCGACGACGACTGCGACGACGACGACGACGACGACGACGACGACGACGACCGCGACCACCACCACCACCACCACCACCACCACCACCACCACCACCACCACCACCACCACCACCACCGACGACGACGACGACGACGACGACGACGCCGACGACGACGACGACGACGACGACGACGAGGGTGACGACGACGACGACGACGACGAAACGCCGAAACATATATGCTCGCCAGGAAAAAAAAGTGAAGGGAGCGGGTGGTGACAACGAGGGGACGCGTTGGCGGCACACTTCTTCCAGGGCGGCAGCAGCGCAGGAAGAATTTGTTCCGATCCGAGGAACAGGCACACAAACAGGTGATCGTTTTTCAATTCGTTGTTGTGCCGCTCTGCGCGGGCCCTCGCACGCCCCCCCCCCCCCCCCATGGAGCAGATCTTGACTGTTTTGGGCGCCTGTTTCAGGCAGCTGGAGGCTCCCCCCCATAGGACGCACTGCCGCAAACAGTCGCACTAAGCGAAGGTCTGGAGCCAGACCCCCCCCCCTTTTCCGCCCAATGTCGAAGCGCCGAGTGAAAAAACGTTCGCCAGTCAGGCACATGCGTTTAGCGTGTCGCGCAGCCAGTTCTGGCCCACCACGCTTCGGCGCAACGCGCTGACCACTTCCCAATCCCCTAGGGTCCCGATCCTTTCTTGGCCCCCCTCCCCGCCACGCTAAGCGATTTTTTCCGTCGGTGGCGAGGCAGCCAAATCCGCACCAGCGTAACAGCCAGGTAGGGGCACCAACTAGCGGAGTTGCCGGCGTGCAAGGAGGGAGGGGGGAGGCCGAGAGGAAGGAGGGACGCTCAGACGCCGAAGAATTCGACGATGAGCAGCCGGCGGGCGGCAGCAGCCAGGCGCGCACGGCCAGAGCGCGGCAGGCGGCCGAGGCGAACCACGGGGGCAGCCACGCTGAGCGGCAGGCCATAAGCGCGCCGGTGCCGCTGCCGCGACACGCGAAGCGAAAGTTCCCGACCGCACACCACTGGATGATGCTGCGCAGGTCCTCGGATCACAGTCGGGCCGAACGAAAGGGGGGGATAGGGAAAGGGGGGGTTACGAAATCTGCTGCATGCAGCTGGTTTCGGCCCCGCCGCCGGGCCCATTCCTCGATACATGAGCGCCTCCTGGCGCCAGGAGGCGCCGGGAAAATCAGTTACGTGAGCGAGCTGATTCTCACCCCCCCCGTTGCTATCCCCCCCTTCCGCCCTGCCCGACACAAGCATGGACACATGCCCTGCCAGGCCGTCGTACAGCACCGCCGCGGCGGGCAGGAGCGTGCGCGGCCCGTGGGCACAGCAGCGCGACCGTGCCGACTGAGCGGGCGCAGGCCGAGCACGGTCGGGAAATTCCCGCCCCGCGGAGCGGAGCGACGCGATGTCGCAGGGGCCGCCACTGCGTCGCAGGGGCCGCCACTGCGACATGCCAAGCAGAGGGTCCCGACCGCATGCTTGGGCCGGCGCGTGTGCCCACAGCCGGAGGCGCCGCGACATCACGGGCGCGCGGCGGCTGCGCGCACGAGGCTTTGCGCCGGGGGGCGCGCGCAGCCTTGAAGCTGGTCCCCAGTCCCCACCGCGCGCTGCAGAAGGGGCCTTGAAGGCCAGGATGCCTACGGGGATGAGGAGGAGGGAGGCGAAGGGAGGAGGAGAGGAGGCGAGAGGAGAGAGGAAGAGAGGGAAGGAGGAGCAGGAACAGGAGCAGGAGGAGAAAGAATAGGAGGAAAACGGAGAGGAGGAGCAGCAGCAGCAGCAGGGCCATGACGAGTACGGGGCAGGAGAATCGCGGATCTGGGGCGCCCGTTCGGGGCGCCACTCCGTTCGGGCCACGCGACGTCGTGGACAGCGGCACGACCTACACCTACCTGCCGGAGCGCGTGTTCCTGCCGTTGATGGCCCGCCTCGAGCAGTATTGCAGGCGGCGGCCATCTTCACCCGGCCTCGCCTCCCTCTCCTCCCCTTCCTCCTCCTCATCCTCTTCCTCCTCCTCCTCCTCCTCCTCCTCCTCCTCCTCCTCCTCCTCCTCCTCCTCCTCCCTTGTCCTCTTGTCCTCCTCCTCCTCCTCCTCCTCCTCCTCCTCCTCCTGCTCCTTCTTCTTCTCCTCCTCCTCCTCCTCCTTCCTCCTCAACCTCCTCCTCCTCCTCTTTCCTCTCCTCCTCTTCCTCACCTCTTCTCCTCCCCCTCTCCTCCTCCTCCTCCTCTCCTCCTCACTCTCCTCTTCCTCCTCTCCTCCTCCTCCTCCCCCCTTCTTCCTCTTCCCTCCTCCTCTCTTCCTCCTCTCTTTTCCTCCTCCTCGTCTCCTCCTCCTCCCTACCTCCTCCTCCTCCACCTCCTCCGCCTCTCCTCCTCCTCTGTCCTCTCCTCCTCCTCCGTCCTCCTCCTCCTCCTCCTCCTCCTCCTCCTCCTCCCCTCCTCCTCCTCTCCTCCTCCTCCTCCTCCTCCTTGCCCCTCCTTGTCCTCCTCCTCCTCCTCCTCCTCCTCCTCCTCCTCCTCTTTTCCTCCTCCTCCTCCTCCTCCTCCTCCTCCTTGTCTCCTTCCTTGTTTCCTCCTTTGTCTCCCCTTGTCCTCCTCTCTTCTCCTCCTCCTCCTCCTCCTCCTCTCATCTTCCTCCTCGATGTCATCACTCCCTCCTCATCCTCGCTCCTCTTCCTCCTCCTCCTCCCTCCTCCCCTCCTACTCCTCCTCCTCTCCTCCTCCTCCTCCTCCTCCCTCCTCCTCCTCCTCCTCCTCCTCCTCCTCCTCCTCCTCCTCCTCCTCCTCCTCCTCCTCCTCCTCCTCCTCCCTTTGCCCTCTACGTATCACCGCCCGATCCGCGACATTAAGGTTATCACGGAGTTTCTGGCCCAAGGAGCGCGCCCGTTGCGAGCATGGGCCGCGCATGCCAGCGGGCAGGTGGAGGTGCGCCCACCGCTATTCCGCCCTGCCCGCGCTCCAGCTTTCGGCCGCCGGGGCGGCCACCGCTGCGCCTGCTCCTGCGGCCGCGTCGAGGCCTCTCGGGGGCCCTGGCGCTGCGGCGACCGCAGGCGGCCCCTGCCTCAGCGTCTGCGGCCGCACAAGCGCACGCGCGCGCGCGCACAACACCGCGCCAGCGGAAAGCGCGGGGGAAGGGGGCGGTTCGGCGGAGGCCGCTCCCGAACCCAACTCGTCGGGCGACCGACCCGCGGGGTCGGAGAGGGCACGCGCACACCACGTCGCCAGCGGAGGGCGCGGGGGAGGGCAACTCGGCGGAACCTGCCTCCGAGCCACCGACCCGTAGGGCAGGACATAATTCGAGGGCCTCGCGGGCCCCCGCCCCCCCCATCGGGGCGGGCCGCCGATCTTCAGCAAGTGGCCGCTTCCTCCGAAGGCTTCGTTTTCGGGGAAGCTGCACTGCGCGCTCCTCCCCACGCACGGGCAAGGGACGCGGCAGCGGCAGGGCACGAGCTCGCGCTGCGCGAGCTCGGGGGGGCGCGATTCGGGCGCGAGCGCGCGCTTGGGGGGGGGCGTCTCAGGACGCCCTGAACTCCTTGGGCCTTGGGCGCGGGCCCGCCCTCGCAGGCGGGCCGCGTTTTTCCCCGCCCGCTTCTGCTGAGCATGGGAGAGGGGTCTCCCCCCAGGGCTTCGCTGGCCCAAGACGCGCGCGGCTCCCCACGGAGGCCCGCGTCGCGGCGCGCAGGGGCGGCCGAGCGGTTGCCCAACCTGGCCGCCGGGGGCCCCGAGTTGAGGTGAGATGTCCCGCTGGAGCGTCCTACGCCCCAAGGGTATACGCGCTGGTGGCTGTCGCGCCTCGATGAGACTTACGCCGCCATCCCGTTCCAGAGGCGCGAGGAGGGCATTCTTCTCGCCCCCCCCCCTCGGCGTTCGCATCGGTGGAAGTTCTGGAGGCCGCGCGCACATGGGAATTCAACGTTGTTCTGGGTCCACGCGCGGCGGTCGAACCCCCTTTTTGCAGGGGCAGCGGTATCGTTGCGGGCGTTCGGCGCTTCCCGACCTGAGCGCGACGGCCGGCTCCGCGGCTTCGGCGGCGCGCGCGGGTCACTTTACAACCAGAAGCGCACTTTACAACCAGATGGGTCACTTTACAACCAGCTTGCAAAATCAGAGAAGGGCTTTTTATAACCAGGAAGGGCACTTTACAACCAGGCAAGTGGAAACACATGTTGAATGCACGCGGGCCTTTCTCTGAAATCTCAGTGGGCAAGCGCAAGGGTGGCTTTGGGCTCTTTGAGGCATGTTGGTTGTAAAGTTGCCCATCGCGCACGAAGAAGCACTGCGCACGCGTTGGTGATGCGACGACCTGGTGCGCTATGGTATGTTGCGTGCTGGTGGGCGGATTCTGGTTTTGACCTGCTCTCGAAGCTCTGTCGGTCAGTTCTGTCATTGATTGCTCTGCCTTTTTCTGACGGACGAAGGCTACTCGCGCAGGACATACGAATAAACCATGATCCTGTCCAAGACTGGAGCTGCATGGCAGTGGGAAGCTGTAGCGGGAGATGTGGTGCTAGCGGGGGCTATAATGGGAACTGCATGGTGTTGGGAAGCTGCGGTGGCAACTGTGGTGGTCGCCAGGCAGCGGTGGGAACTGCGATGGTAGCTGGGCTGCAATGGGGCCGGCGCTGCCAGATTACACCGCCGACGCGCGCAGACAACGCAGGGTAACGAGCCATTCGGCCCTCCATCATCACCACCACCATCACAATCATCACCAGCATCATCAGTAGTATCATCAGCATCAGCAGCATCATCACCATCATCATCATCATCAGCACCGTCGTCACCATCGTCATCAGCAGCATCCTCACCAGCACCATCACCAGCATCATCAGCAGCATCAGCAGCCTCAGCGATCATCATCATCAGCATCATCATCATCAGCATCATCATCAGCATCATCATCATCACCGTTGTCATCGTCATCGTCATCATCATCAGCACCATCATCATCCTCATCGCCGTATTCCTATTCCTCCGCCTCCGCCTCGCCCCCCTCATCTTCCTCGTCATCCTCCTCCGCTCCGTCCTCATCCCGATTATCATCCACCTCCGCGTCCTTCTCCTCCTCGCCACCCTTCTCCTCCACATCATCCTGCTCCTGCTCATGCCCCTGCTCACGTTGTAGCTGGGATAGGAAGAAGGCCGCCTTCCTCCCCCCTCCTCCTCCTTCCTCCTCCTTCTCATCCTCGTCAACCTCCTCCTCGTCATCCTCCTCCGCATCCTCCGCATCTTCCTCCTCCGCATCATCCTCTTCCGCGTCCCCATCCTCGCCCTGCTCGTCCCGCCCCTCCCCCTCCTCATCCTCAGCATGTTATCCCTTGAATTCCCCCGTGTTCTTCCTCGGCCTCCTCCGCCTCCTCCTCCTCGTCATCCTGCTCTTCCGTAGCTCGAATAGGAAGGAGGCCGTCTTCCGCCCCCTCCTCCCCCTCCCTTTCCTCCTCCTTCTCATCCTCGTCATCCTCCTCTTCGTCATCCCCCCCCCCCCCTCCCCCTCCCCCCCTCCCCCCCCCCCTCCTCCTCCTCCTTATCCTCAACCTCGTCCCCCTCGCCCGCCCCTCTCCCTCCTCATCCTGATCATGCTATCCCTTGGTTTCCCCTGGTTTCTTCCTCGGCCTCCCCCGCCTCCTCCTCCTCCTCGTCGCCCCCCTCTTCCTCCTCCTGCTGCCGCTGCTCCTGCTGCTCCTCCTGCAGGAGGGGGGGGGGGCGGGGGGGGAGGACGAGGAGGAGAGAAGGAGGAAGAGGAGGAGAGGAATAATAAGAGGAAAGGGGGAGGAGGGGGAGGAGGAGAGAGGAGCGAGGAGCGAACGGGCCAGCAGCGCCCCCTCGTCCATCCCCACCTGCTCTTCATCCGCCGTCTTCTCCTCCTTAGCTTCTCCTCATCGCGCTACTGCTTTGTTCCTGCTGATGGTTCTCCCCCCCCCGCTCCACCTGCCCCCCCCCCCCCCCCCTCCCTCGTCATCTCTCCTCCCTCTCTCTCCTCCGTGCTCGGCGGCGACATCGGCAACGTCGGAATGAGGAGTCGAACCTGGCATGCAATTCCAACCCCGAGAGATCCATCCAGTCTCCGTCGGGAGGCAGTGGGCGGCGCAACCCGCCCAGGGCGCTCGCTCGCGACGGTGCGTCCTCCGTCCTCTCCTCCTGGACACCTGTCGCCCTCCGACTTCGCCTCCGCCCCCCCCTCCTCCTCATTATCCTCTTTCTTCTCCTCCTCCTTCTCCTGCCCCCTCCTCCTCCTCCTCCTCCTCCTCCTCCTCCTCGTCCTCGTGCTCCTCCTCCTCCTCCTCCTCGTCCTCCTCCTCGTCCTCCTCCTCCTCCTCCTCCTCCTTCCTCCTCGTCCCCCCCCCCCCCCCCCCTGGGCCCCCACCCCTTCCGCCCCCCCGCCCGCTCCGCTCGGCGCGGCGCCCAGACGACGACAGTGCGCACCACAGCCGACGGCGGCGACGCGGCGGCTCAACGATGGGGCCCTGGGGACGATGTGGCCTCAAAGCTGACCTCTGCGGCCGTGCCGAACGCGGGGTGGAGCCGGCTCCAATTCAAACGCGAAGGTGGACATATCGTTGAGCAGGGGCCGACCGCCACGGCATTTCTATAGGCCCTCCACAAAATTGTCTTAGAACCCCAAGATGTTCTAATAACATAAGCGTTGTTCTCAGAACATAAGCCCGATATGTTAAAACAAGACAGCCCCAGCCAAAACTGCCCTCAGAACATTCCGTGGAAACCGCAAACTGATGGCCGGCAGTTCGAAACCCGCGCGCCTGTCAACAGACAGAGCGCCCGCTCGGCAAAGGAGTGGCGGCAGGCTGGCCACGACGCGCGGGCGCAGGGAGGCCGCCCCTGGGACATGCGAGCAGAACCTCAGGCAGCACGCGGGGAGCTGGCCAACACATCATCATCAACAACGCTCATTTGAAGACTGTTCACTCGCGTACGCTCGCGCGCCATTCAACGCGTATCTCGCAAACCCTCGAGACCCGCCCACTTCGTTTTTGATCGCGCCCCTTTCAAGGTAGATCATTCTGACCCCTGCAACGTCCATTTCGCGCAGCCCCTAAGGCAGGGGAAGAGAGGACGGACGGAAGGATAAGACAAGGGGGAGGGAGGAGGATGCAGCACGAGAGAGATTTGCAGGAGGGGGGCGAGGAGCAGGAAACACGCGGCAGAACCAGACAGGCAGATCGGGCAGGTAGACTTCGACGGACGGGTCGCTAAGGCGGGCCCAGGCGGCCAGGTCGAGCAGCCGGGTTGCTGAAGCGTGCGTCTTGCATGAATAGTGAGAAGGTCTCGAGCGACAGTGCGATTCACACATTCATGGCGAGGACGTCCACAGCGAGAGCGTGATTCCTGAGTGTCGAGGGAGCGTCGCCTGAGTAAATTGCGAGGACGCCCCGCTCGAGAGCGCGATTCCTGCGTACATTGTGAGGAAGTCCCGCGCGAAAGCGCGATTGGGAAATTTGTTGTGAGGATGTATCAAGCGACTACCCCTGTCGTTGTAAACAGGGGGCCAACACCACAATTCTGATAATCAAGACTTCCCATCTATTTAAACAGGGTGCGGATCCAAGGATCAGTACTTGCATTGTGAAAACACCATGTGCCCTGGAGGGGTGATCAACAATATTTGTTCCTCAGTCGTGCAAGTTCGACAAAAGTAGCAACAACAACAACGACAGCAACAGCAGCAACCACAGCAACAACACTCACTCGCGTGCCAGTCAACACGTTTATCCCAAACCATCGATACCCGTCTTCTTCGTCTTCGAACGTATCCCCTTGGCGGCATGTCTCCCTTGCCTGCAACGCGCACCCCGCACAGCCCCTAAGGCAGGTGGAGAGAGGGCGGATGGAAGGGAGGGGCAGCGGGGAGGGCAGGCGGGTTGCTGAAGCGCGCGCCCTGCATGAATCGCGAGGAGGTGTCGAGCGACAACGCGGCGCCCAATAATCCGCGAGGGAATCGACGGCGAGAGCGTGATTCCTGAGCGCGACGCCCCCCACTTCCTCCTTGCGCTGTCGTGGATCGGCGGCCGCGCCGCCCTCGCGGCCACGGCGGCCAGCACGCGGGCGCGGGGGGGGATGAAAAGGAAAAGGCCCCCGTCAGAAGGCCGCGTGGCTCCTCAAAGGAAAACTTCCAAGAAGCGCACCCGCGGTTCCTGCAAAGTCCCGCGGCCTTCTGGGGGGGGCCCCTCCTTCTGACGCCACCCCCGCTCAGCGCCGTCTCGCCGTCGGAAATCTGGGCCAGCGCGGCCGCCGCGGCTCCGGCGGCAAACGCGGGGGGGGGGGGGGATTGAGCAGGCCTTCGTCTGAAAACCGTGGGGCCTCTCAGAACGCCCGCTTCTCAGGAGCCATCCGTCTGGCCCGGCGAAAAGCATCGCGGTCTTCTGAGGCGGCCTGCCCCTTCCGCTGCCCCCCCCCCTCCGCCCCCAGCCCAGCGCCGAAGTGGCGGGCGCGCGCGTTGTCATGCTGTCGCGGATGAACGGCCGCGCCGCCCTCGCGGCCGCGGCGGAAAGCACGCGCGCGCGGGGGGGGAATGACAGGGAAAAGGCCAATGTTAGAAGGCCGTGTGGCCCTTCAAAGGATAACTTCTAAGAAGCGCACCCGCGGTTCCTGAAAAGTCCCGCGGCCTTCTGGGAGAGCTCTCTCCTTCTGACGCCACCCCCGCTCAGCGCCGTCTCGCCGTCGGAAATCTGGGCCCGCGCGGCCGCCTCGGCCCCGGTGGCAAACGCGGGGCCGATGACAAGGAGTAGAGCAGGCCTTCGTCGGAAAACCGCAGGGTTTCTCAGAGCGCGAGCTTCTCGAGAGCCATCCGTCTGGCCTTGCGAAAAGCATCGCGGTCTTCAACGGCGGTCTTCTGAGACAGCCCGCTCCTTTCGATGCCCCCCCGCCCCGCGCCCAACGCCGAGGTGGCAGGGGCGCCTGTTCCAATGACGTCGTAGATCTGCGGCCGCGCCGCCCTCGCGGCCGCGGCGGCAAGCACGGGCGGCGGCGAGCGCGCGGCCACGGGGGCGCCCCTAGCGGCGCCGAAGAATCAGGTCGTCGTAGTGATAGCCAGAAGTGCCGTCGCCCGTCCAGTTCCAAAGATGCTGCCTGCGAGTCGGAGACGCGGCCATGGTGGTGGGCACCTCGAAAGCATCAGGGAGGCCCCCTGCCGCATCGCACCGCGCATGCGCAGCGACTGCAATGTTCGCGGCGGGGCCTAGCACGCCGAACGTATTCACCAACCTCAGCGCAGCGGTGGGCCCGCGGCGCCCGTGCTCGAGATGCGCGCCAGGGTCTGGCAGGCCTTCCGGCGTCATTGGCTGGAGCCCCGGGGTGTTCACGAAGTGCTCGCGCGCGCGAACGCGCGCCGCGCTCCAGTCGCGGCGGTCTTCGATGATTCCAGCTGCCGCGAGCACCAGCGCAAGGCTGTGCACCAGACAATTGTTGCCATCGCCGCTGCTGCGCAGAAGCTCGAAGCCCTGCTTCTGCAACTCGCCCGATCGCTCGTCGTCCGTGGTCAGCAGATTGGCCGCAGGGCGGGATCGGGAAGCGATGGCGCAACGCCTAATGGCGAAGAGGAGCGACTGGAACTCGGGCATGACCAGAGGCAACACGGAGCCCATGCCCTCAGCAGGCCGCCTTCCCGCAATCAAAACGCCAAACGGGGGCCGCCGATCGCTCAGATCCCGGAGCCATTCTTCCTGAAATAACCTCTTCGCACCTGGCTCTGTGCACCATTCAGCCAACGCCTCGAACAGGGCATTGATGACGTCAGGGGGTAGTAAAACTCCCCCTCCAAGCGGCGCCGTAACAGAGAGTCTGCGATCGTCGGTTGCGTACCAGGCGACGCACCCGCCCGGCTGCCCTGGCCCTGCGCAACGGCAGGGGGGGCCGGATGATCGCCCTGGTCGGGGCGCTCGCCTGCGTCTCCGATGGGGCCCGCAACGGCGAGATCCACCGCTGCGCGCCCCGAGTTGCCGAGGGCCCGCTTCGTCCGCAGGCGGCGGGTTGGGCGCGCCTTCGCGGACATCAGGCCTGCACTCGCGTCGTTGCCCTTGCCTGAAAGTTTCCGAACCAGGGACTGGAGTTTCAGAATCTCTGCGTCCTTCTCGTCTGCCTTCAGAGGGACCGATCCACGGCCAGGCGCCTTTGGCTTGTTGGCGCCGCGGGTCGCCACGGCCAACAAGGTCCGCCGCTGCGCCCCATGGCGCGACAAGGCGCAAGAACATGTTGAGGGCGGACAGGTTAACCTAGTGCCGACGATAATCAATACCCCCCATTAACACGTTAGACTTGATCATCGTCGACGTAGAAGGGGTTCAAATGTAAGCGGGGAGCGCGGAGGCCAAACTTCATTATCACTGGGAAAGTTCAGATGTGATTGAAGATATTTTTCTTTATGTTGACATGACAACATCAAGGATGTGTCAAGCGAAACGGACTTCGGTCCACCCTATCACCTCTTTCTTCTTCCACACGCTTGCCCCATGGCAGGGTGAATGTAGAAGGAGAAGGAGGAGGGGGATGACGATTACGATTGCGAGTCTTTGCGTTCTCTGATAGCGTTGGCACGGCGGGGTTTGCCGCAGGCAAGTGGATGGCATTCAGCCTGGGCGGCGCGGTCAACGCGCCCGTGTGGACCTGGGGGCCAATCGAGTGGAAGCACATCTTCAGCGAAGGGAACAGCGCGCAGGTGCAGAATGCCTTGCCGTGGTCGATGCCAAAGACGCGGCTAGCATCACGGCCCGCGAAGAGTGCGAGCTTCTCTGGGGTCGTCGGCTCTCCGCGACACTTCGCGGCGAAAGCCTTGCAACTCTCCCTCGCAAGGTCCCTGGGCATGGCCTCCCGGTTGCGAACGTCGGCGTCCTTGGGCCCCCCCCTCGGCAGACAACAATACAAGCTGACAGAATGACCTTCCACCCTGGCAATTCGGGCCGCGCCGAAAAGGGTCTCGAAAGCCACGGCTTTGCTCCGCGTGACATCGTCGACGCGCCTGGCCGCCCGCGGATCGAGGACGTCGAGGGAAACAGTGCGAACCTGATCCAATCCGCATGCGGCCTTCCTGCCGGCATCGCGGGGCGCCGCCAAAAACGCAGAAACGACCCAGGGGACCTCCAGGGTGACGCCACGAGGAGGACGAGGGGGAGAGGATTATAAGGAGGAAGAGGAGGAAGAGGCCTAGGCCGGCGGCGGCGCGAAGCGACGCGGATAGAAACGCTAAATTTTCACCGATCCCGCCGATGACGCCCCCCGCATCGAACCTGATGTTCTTGATGCAACTCTCGGCGCCATTGTTCGTCCCGGGGGCGGTCTCCACCGCCGCGTCGCTGTTTCCCGCGAGCGCGCCGAAGTACCACTCTGGCGCAAGGCCCGACGGCCCCCACTGCTGCAAGAAGTAGGACACGAAATTCCTGGAAATGCCGTCTTTACCCGTCCAAGCAGTGTCGGCGCCTAGTCCATCCTGCTGCCATTTCTTCTCGACTGCCTCGCAGCGGGACCTGAAGTCAGCGTGGTTCGCGGCGCACCGCAGCGCGTCCATGTCGGCGGACACGCTCGCCCACTGCGCAGCCTTCTGCTCAGCTGTGCCCGCGGACCGCTTGGCCAGGCAATCCTTGCGCGCTTGCTTCACATGAAAGCAACACATTAAATTGGCAGCGCCAAGCACGCGAGAAAGCGCGCGCCTGTAAGACTCCTCTGCGTCGGACATGCCGAGGGGTTTCCTGGCGCCCCCACCTGTTTCCGAGAGTGCGCTGTCTGCGAAGCCTCGGAGCATGGATGTGATGTGGTCCTTCTGCATGGTCGATGTCAGTCCAATGGCGCATCCGCCACCTAGCCAGCGCGGCGCGAGGGAAAATGTTCCCCAATCTTTTGCGCGCTGAGGCACGGCGCTGATGTGTTTCACGGTCCTCCATTGAAACCTAGCCCTCATTCCCCAAGACCTCCGAACGCGGAAATTCGCGCCCCCCGCCCAAAGGGGTCCTCAAGAGGCCAGGAGAGGTTCCAAGGGCCCCCCAAGAGGCTCCCAAGAAGTCGTTCCTCTGGGAATCGTGGTTAGACGTAAAAGGAACATGGGTCTCATGATCTTCAATGGTTGGGGGATCAATTTCGGGGGCATGTCCATCAATTTCGCATCTCCAGACGCCGACGCGTCATTCTCCATGGCACGTCGGCGTCTGGAGATGCGCCTCTGGGCACAGGAACATCGCATAATGCCTCAGGACGAGTGGAAGCGGGCGTCGGATGTTGAGGCGCTCTCATGCGCGGTGCGTTTGGCGTTCTAACAGTGAATACAATAGCCGGGGGGAGCACGGCAGCGAATAGCATTGCATGGCATTCGGGCCCGCCATCGCGGCATCGAGCCGCCGCGCCATCGTGGCATTCTTGCCACAACGTGCTGGAGGACGCATCGCCCGCCTCGTGGATTCAATTTGTTGTGTGTTATGGAGGTATGGGGTAATATTTGAAACATCGCGTGTCGCGGCTGAGACCCCAGCGCGGGCGTTCAAACTTGAGCGACGCGAGTGGGCCGTAATCGGCCGACGTTCAGAGACCTTGCGATCGGATAGTGTCCTGGCGACCTGGCATGTCGCACGGGTGCCCCTGATGTCCCCTTCGGCCTTCTTCCATTTTCGTTTTTTTCCGAAACCGCTTCGGCTCTGGACGAGGCGCCCTTCCTGCGATTTCTCGAACCATGCTCTTGCACATCGTTCGCGTCTTCGCGCTTGCGTGGATGCCTATACTCCAGAGGCCCGCGGCCGCTACCGCCCAGCCGGCGGGCGATGGGATCGCGCCCCATGCCGCCCAGGTGGCAGCCGATGGCGACAAGGCCACGTTTGATGCATCCCAATACACGCGCAAGGTAAAACCATATGTCTCCAGGGAAGAAGGCCTCGAATACCTCGGGCGCCGCCAGCATTGCAAAAGTCACGCAGCAAGGATCGTCAAAACATCGGGGAAGATCACCCACCTCCGACGCAGGCTTCGTCGTGGCTCTTTCCCTCCATGCAAATGGGCGGCAGTTATCCAGGAAGACTCGCGCGGGGAGGCTCACCTATACCAACTACCTCGGTTCACAGAGCATGAGCGTTCCGACGCGCCGGTTGGCAAGCAGGGGTTCGACAACCTCGACGAGCGGAAAAAGTTGGCACCGTTGCTCCAGCAACCTGCCGCTGCTCGGCCGAAAACAGCCTCACGGCAGGCGAGGCTTTCGAAAAAAGATGGCGTCCAGAAGACGCTTTTGAAGCAGGTCCAAGGCCTCAGGAGGCGCATCGTGAAAAACGTTCTTCCGCGTGCGCACAGTCGGACAGCTTGAGGGCAAGATTTCGCAACGCGTGGAGCAGCCAGCTGACGCGCGGGACGGTTACTTTCGCTTCCGCCACGCGTCCCAGGCAGGGCCCAAGAAGAAACCAGTTGCGACGGTCGTCTGCACCACGCGCTGCCTCCAGCAGAGATGGTCACACGGGCATAATTGCACGGCCGCGATAGACGGGGGCTTCAAATTCAACCTCCCCGGCTGGCCGCTGCACGCGATTGGCGTCGTCAACCCTGCAGACAATTTCGGTCTATCCAATGGCCTTTGGCCACATCCGCCACGGTCTCGGGCCGGTTTGGGCGTTTGCGGGCCCGTCTTCAGCTCTGCAAGCCGAGAAGGCGAGAAGGCAACAAGTCTTGAAACCCCACTGTGCAATCAATGATGTTGGCCTCTTTTTAGTCCTTCTTCGGCGGACTTTTGTATTTTGTCTTGTTGGGAGGGGGGGGCCTCTTGGGGGTTGTTGGGGGCTTCTTGAGTTAATGTGCTCCTCTCCGCATCCTCTCTTTTGCCGCTGCCGCCGCCGTGCAATACTTGCGGTGTGTACTCGTAGACTTGATTGCCAAGGCCATCGCCGATCTATCGATGATACATGCGTCAGGTCTCCGCGCGCGCGCGCGGCCGGCCTGCCCGGCGCGCGCGCGCGCGTATTCGCACATTGCGTAACCGACCGCATTACTGCCAAAGCCATGGCTCTCCCCAGTTGTTATTTCCCTGGGCTCCCCCAGAAAAGATCTACGACCACGCGTAGCGAAGCCCCAGGCTTAAAGCCCCGCCTCGGAGATTGGGTTTCCGCCCGCCCCCTGAAAAGGAGAGGAGAAGGACGCCAGTCGATCCTTGAAGTGGGAGGGCGCCAAAAATAGTGGGATCTGGGAGCCCAAAAAGCTTTGCTCTCCACGACCGGTGCGCATCTGTTTGACATGGGACCGACCGCCCCGGCATTCCTATAGGCCTACCAGGATTAGAACCCAGAAATGTTCTTAGAACAGTAACAAGGTTCATGAAACTTAAACACGGTGTGCTGAAACAAACCAGTCTAAGCCAGACATGTTCTAAGAACACTTCGTGGAAATCACACAAAAGGTTATCTGGAACCTTTTTTTGGTACGCCTCGGAGGCGAGCCAGGACGCTTCGCCACTGCTTCAGAGTGGGATCCGGGCAGCCAGAGATCCCTGGGCCTCCCTCGGGGCGCCGCCCTGCAGGGGGGCGCCTCCCACGTCTGACTGCCACCCTCGACGCGCGGAGGACACGAGGTGGAGGTCACGAGGTGGAGGTCACGAGGGACGGGAGGAGGAGGAGGAGGAGGAGGAGGAGGAGGACAAGGAGGAGGAGGGGGGACGAGGAGGAGGAGGAGGAGGGAGAATATGGAGGAGGAGGAGGAGGAGGAGGGAGGAGGAAGGAAAAGGAGGAAGAAGGAGGAGGAGGAGGAGGAAGAGGAGGAGGAGGAGGAGGGAGGAGGTAGGAGCTCTATCCACCTCCGAACGTCCTGGGCCGCCGCAGCCAGCGGGAATTACAAGGGGCGGTAGGAAGCTACAGGGTTATCAGGAAGATCATGGAGGCCTCGCGTGGCAACTTGAGACCCGACTTGCGTCGGATCCACGTCGGGCTTACGCCGGGTTCACGTCGGACTACGTCGGAATTGCGTCGGACGTACGTCGGATTGACGCAGGAGCATCGCCGCGCGAGCGTCGACCCATAGTCTACGGAGCTGACGTATGGGCTGGGTAATACAACTATTACGCGACGCGCGAGGCCTCCAGGATTTTCCTCCTAATCAAGGATGTTGCTGACATGGGGCGGCGCCATCATCGCCAGTGGCATCTGGGGCATCAAGAGCACCAAACGACACCAGAGCCGAGAGATGACAACGATGGGGGCTGACGAAGAGACAGAATCAGCGCGCCCACAAGGAAGGCAAAAACGTCCACTGGGTTGGGAGGCGGTCGGAAAATGGGACAAGGAAATAGGGGTCTCGCAAATCTGATTGGAGCGATGATTCGGCAACGCGCCGAACATCCCAGCATGCCTGCAATGCCCTTTTCCTGCCAGAGGGAGCCACGCATACACACATATACATATACATATATATATATATATATAAATATATATATATAGATGTATATGTGTGTATATATACATGTGTCTATCTATACACAGATTTACATATACGTTTCCACATGTATCTATTATATGTTTGCACACGCAGTATACGACTATGTCAACACATGCCATTCCATACCAGCACTCATACACATATATGTGTGTGCATGCATGCATGCATGCGTACATAAATACTAGCCCGTTCCTGAACCTCGGTTGGGCCTTGGTGTCAGGAGCTTGTTGCGTCGCCGCTCTCTGCTGGGAGCCTTGGTCTTATAAGCTTGTCTGCGTCACCGCTCGCTCTTGGGAGCCTTGGTGTGAAGAGTTTTTTTGCGCCACCGATCGCTCTCTATTCGGTGCCTGTGGGCCTTCTTGGGGGTCCTATTGGGGCCCTCAAGAGGCCCATAGGCATCGCTGGGGCCTGTGCAGAGCGCCCAGGTCCTCGGGCCCCAGAGCGCCCACGTGCTCTGGAGCACTTTTCAGAGCGCCCGCGCGCCCTGGAGCACTTTTGAGGGCGTCCGTGCGCCCTGGAGCACTTTTGAGAGCGCCCACTTGCTCTGGAGCATTTTTCAGAGCGCCCACTTGCTTTGGGGCACTTTTCAGAGCGCACGCGCGCCCTGGAGCACTTTTGAGAGCGCCCACTTGCTCTGGGGCAGTTTTCAGGGCGCGCGCGCGCGCCCTGGGGCACTTTTGAGAGCGCCCACTTGCTTTGGGGCACTTTTCAGAGCGTCCGCGCGCCCTGGGGCACTTCTGAGAGCGCCCACTTGCTCTGGAGCATTTTCCAGAGCGCCCACGTGCCCTGGAGCATTTTTGAGAGCGCCCACATGCTCTGGGGCACTTTGCGGAACGCCCAAACACGCACGGCCACTCTGAGCTGGTTGTAAAGTGGTCCGTTCTGGTTGTAAAGTGGCCCGTTCTGGTTGCAAAGCGGCCCGTTCTGGTTGTAAAGCGGTCCGTTCTGGTTGCAAAGTGGACGTTCTCGATGAAAAACCATACTTTCGAATCCTATGTTGGTTGTAAAGTAGCCCATCTGGTTGTAAAGCGGTTGTTCTGGTTGTAAAAAGACCGAATCTCCTTCGGCGGCGGCCGCAGGGGATGCCGACCCCGAGGGCTGGCCCGCGTCGGTCATTTTTGGGGCAGGGGCGATTGGCCCCACCCTTCTGGCGCGCGAACGCTGCGCTCGCAGCGGCTGAATGCCCGCCGCGTCGACGGCGTCGAACGCGAGGGTGCCCCAGCGACAGCGCGCCCCGCGCCCCGCGCGCTTCAAAACGAGGCGGCGGGCGCAGGGGCAGACGAGGCCTTCGAGGAAATCCCAATCGGAGCCCTTCGGCGTCGAGCCAGGCCCCGAGGCGCCCGGCAGGGGCGGGCGGAGGCCGCGGCTGAGCGACTCCAGCGCGGCACGAGACAGCAGCGCATCAGCCGCTTCGGGCGGCGACCGCCAAGGGGGGGGGGGGGGGCGCGGGCGGGGCCGCCGCGCCGCCCTTGCCGGGCGAGCTGCTGCCGAGAGGAAACGGGCCCCTGCGGAGACGATGCCCGAGGTTTTTCACCGCCTTCGGGGCCCTGACCCTCGGCGGCCCGGCTGGGGCCCAGGGCCCGTGAACCCCGTGCTAGAGCTCGTGACAGTGGGGATCTGGCTTCCGAAGTCGCGCGCCTGCCGGCGCGGCATCGCGCCGCCTTTATCGCCGCGGCGCCGACAGATCCGCAGGAGGGCCCCGCGGCTCGCGCGGCGGCCCCTCGGACGTTCGGGGAGAGGGTCGCGCGGGCGGACGCGGGCCAGAGTCGTCGGCCGATGGCTCCGCCGCCCAGGAGGGGCCCCGAGCCCTTCCCACCTTGGGAGAGCTCGCGGAACGCGCCCGGGGCGGGCGCCGAAGGCGGGCATGCCTTCTCCAGCGCCCTCCCGCGCGAGGGCGAGGCGGCCCTCGGGGGGGCACCTGGCGCGAGGCTTTCAGAGGCCGATCTGGTTTGCAGCGCCCAGTTGCGTCGCCGGTGCGGGCGGGCTGCGGGGCGCCCAAGTCGACCGCGACTGTTGTTCTGCGACCCTGGGGCGACCGAGTCGCCGGGCGCCGGGGGACGCCCGCGGGCGCTCGAGCGCGGCGCGACGGGGGCCGCGCCCGCGCAGGGGTTCGCGCGGCGGCGAGAGCCGCGGGACTTCACCGCCCACCGCGACCCCAGGCAGGGGACGATCCCTCGGGAGAGACCGCGGAGGCAGCTGCGGAGGCGGCGGGGCCGAGCAGCACGGGGTCGCGCCGCCTCGGCCGCAGCCGTCTGGGCGCGTCGTCGGCGCCCCGCCCGCCCGCCAACGCGCCTGGCGCACCCGCCCGCGGAGCTCGGGCGCGCCGCGGAAGACGAGGGCGCAGACCGCGCGCGCGCGCCTTGATCGGCCGCCGGGGGCTGGGAGCGACGGCTCGGCCCCTGGCAGGGCTCGAACCCCCCCTTCGGCCACGGGCGCTGCAGGTCAGGCAAACGCGAGCACGCGCGACAAGCGCGGGGCATTGATTATATCGCACGTCGGTCAGCACGCCCCACTTCCGAGACATCTTCGTCGACGGGAGTTTGCACGGCTCGCTCGGATTTTCAAGGTTCCGCAGCGTTCGTTCCCGCGCGGCGATTGCTTCGACTTGCATTCGTTCGAGGGCCAAAAGCTCCCCTGCCGAACCAGCACGAAAACCGCGCAACTTGCGCGCGCGGGCCGCTTCGCGATCTCTGCGTGGCAGGATGCCCATGGGAGACTCAGACAAGCTGTTGCAGTTGCCCGCCGTTCAAGTGCTAGCAGGTCGCTGCTCGCCTGACTGGCGGCTGTCCGAGCCCGTCGCGGCCGCGCTCGAGGCGGCGCCCAGCGGGTTCTCCGATGACGAGGGGCGCATCCATGCGCGTGCACTAGCGCGTCAGAAACTCGATGAATAGCCCGCTGACAACGCACGCGCACGCCCCGCCCATGCCCTCCATTTTCGATCGGCCCTCCACAGACAGATCGCGGCATAACTTTACCCCGACACGATAGAGAACGCGACGCGCCGCTCGCTTTTGATGTGGGCGCCTCTTCTGAGGCCGCAGATCGAGACAGTTGATCGGGATGCGCTTCGGAACGCGACGGTATCCTTTCCTCTTGCTGCATGGTGTTGCGCGACGCGATCACGAAAACTTTCACGGGTCGCTGGGCCACCCCCCACCGTCGTCAGAAAGAAAGAAAAAAAAAAAAAAAAAAAAAAAAAAAAAAAAAAAAAAAAAAAAAAAAAAAAAAAAAAAAAAAAAAAAAAAAAAAAAAAAAAAAAAAAAAAAAAAACGAGCGCGGCTTTCTAGGATGCCTAAGAGCCCCAAAAACGCGCTGGCATGTCTGGACACGATTGCGCTTATGGCGTTCAGTTCGGGGCCCCTTGGGCTAGGGCTGCCCACCGTGCCGATCTGGAGTTCTTAGCCAGAGTTTCAAATATTTCGAGCTTGTTGCACGCGCATATTACATGTGCAATGCGCCGCGCGCTTCCGTCGCCTGCCCGCCCAGCGCTACCCGATGGGGCCAGCCGAGCGCAGGCGAAGGCCTCGGGAGGAGGGGGAGGTGGTGGGTGGGTGGAAGAGAAATGCTGTCGTTTTCCCTTGCTGCTATCGGAAACCCTCCAGGGGTCTCTGGAGATTTCTGCGCGGGGGTCGTCGTCGTCGCCGTCGCCGTCGCCGCGCGCGTCCGTCGTCGTAGTCGTCGTGCTCATCGCCCCCGCGTTCGCTGCACTTGGGCGTCGTCGTCGTTTTCCCTATGGTGGCGCGGCGTGGCTTGAATCGTGCTCGCGCGCCGAGCAAACCGTCTGGTTCCACGGCCTCGGCAGCGATTCCCCTTCGCCCCCCCCCGCCCCCCCCCCGCCCGATGCGCGGCGACGACGGCGCTGGCGCGGCTGAGCCTGCTGCGGGGCCCCGGCCCTTGCAGCGGCGGTCGCGCAGTTCACGGGCGTCTTTCGTTTGTGCCCCTGGCTGCCTCGCGCCGTCTCGGGGCCCCCTTACGCGGCCCGTCTCAGGGGATTCGGGGAGCCTTTGTTCGGCCGTCTTGAAGCATTGGGAACCCCAGAATGGCGATAATGCAGAACATGTTGCGACAGCTCTATACAAGTCATTGCGATTTGCCCCTGGGCCCCTCTCGGGAGTCCTCTCGGAGCCCTCTTGGCCGTGTCTTGGGGGCGCGTCGTGTGGCGACGCGATATTCCGGATAGATTCCCCCGCCCCACGTCGGGCCCAAGCGCGAGATCGATCGAACCACGTCGGAAGGAGGCTTCGGACACATTGACGCCCGCCACATTGAAGGCCACTGGGACAAGGAGGAGGCGCTCTTTTAAAGCTTACCCTGGAAAGGCGCAGCGGGGAAACAGACAAGCTGATGTCTAGGCAGGGGAAGCAGCTGAGGCCCGCAGACTTCCCCGCGCGGAGCTCGAGCGCGACGACTTCGCGAACGCCTGGGGCCACCTCGTCAGAAGGCAAAATTATTGATCAACAGAAAAGGCAAACGCCCGCGACCCAACAAAGACCACCGACGACATCGGGCTAAGCAGAGCCAAGAAGTCACATAAAGTGCGCTGTGTCACGAGGGGCGCAATATGCAGCAGCTGTTAGCCCAGCCGCTGCACACCTTGAGGTACGACCAAGTCAATTGGAGCATCAGATCGAGCGCGGGATCATGCACGGATCACGGGCGCGGCAGAGTAGCGTTAGAACATCGATTGAACAGAATGCATGGCACACACCACAGGAACCACATACAGAAAACACCAGATCACGGCGGGAGGGATGGCCACCCGCCTGACCCACGACGACCGAAGTAGCTATGGGTATGTTGGAACTGCGTTGCGAGGATCACATCACCAGACCTGCTGGCGATGGAGTCTCGCAAAGCGCAGAATGAATGACAATCAGGACAACAACACCCGACAAGTGGCACCTGAAGCGGTGCACCAATGGAGAGTTGGCCGGAGCCAATCGGAGCGATAGCCAAACTCTTTTTGTTATGCGCGTCTATGGAAGAAAAAGCAAGGCCCCCGAGTGCTTTATTCTCAACAGACAAAAAAACTACCCATTAAAGTCAGGACTGGTCGGCGCTGGCGGTCGCAATGGCGCGGCGCCGAAGGAGCTGCTCGTTCGGTCTGGATGGCCCCGCGCCAAGTCCAACCCCGTTCATGCTGAGAAAGCCGCTGGGGATGGACCGCTGCAGGCACATGGTCAGAGCGGCCACCCCGCGCCCCCCTGGCGGAGCGGTGGCAGCCGCTGCTCCGCCGGGCTGGAGGCACCTCTGTTGCTGCGCCCAGCCAGGGGCGGGGGCCTGGGGGCGCGGGGGGGGGCCGCGGTGACCTCGGTCAGTCGGTAACCCACGCGACCCCTCGATGACGTCGGCGGGCGCCGCAGCGGGGCCCGAAGTGTTGCAGTCCGCGCGTCCAGCCAGGAGCAGGGGCTGGGGCGTTGGGGAGAAAGGGGGGGCGGAGGCCTCGCGGTCGCGCGGCGGGTGG